CTTACATTTTATTAGATCGTGACTGCTAAGAGTTGTTTAAAAGTCACCCGAATGCTGCCCGTGGAACACTGTTCAATATTAAATGTGAACGGTTATGCGCACCATTTGTTTCATCCACTTTCCGCGGATCACTAAATAGAGATATAACCCCATGTTCGTTGTCAAGGATAAAAGCCTACTCATCCACCATGTTACCACTAAACCGGGTGATCGCTTATATTGATTTTAAGTACGGATCAACATTTAATTCAATCTTTACGGTTAATTTTATCAAGAACTATTGTAACATATGTGAGCTACACAAAATAACATATCATATAAATGTGTCGTGTTGTATACCAAGGTCAATTTAACATTTGTCATTCAGACCGTATCCTTATTCCAGTTAACGCACGTTTGTCTCTCGGTTTTTCTACTGATGGTAAACCGCCACAATTTTATTCATATGTAAATTATAAACCATCATTGTGAATTCCCACATACTAATATTTCGTGTAACTTTATTGTTCTTATGTGGACTGTAAATTAAAACTAAAAGTGTGCAACTAATAGAGCCATTAACCGTTACGTCTGGTTTATTTTTTAATTCGGCTGATCAAACAATACGATTTTAACGTAATCAAAATATGCATTAAATGTTACAGTATACATAGTAGGTGTTAATGATCAAATGATAAACTGTTCAATAAACTCTTTCGTGTTGACGTAAACTAAATGAATACTTTGTTAATAGTAGTATCGCAGTTTAACCAGCTGTGCAGCTTCAATTGTGCATTTTTGTCGTGTTTCTAAGATTACAAACCGAACTGTTATAATATTGTAAACAATGTAGTTTATGTTAAACCCACTTCAAAGCGTACAATTACCTGTATACTCGCGGTTGTAAATAATTGGACTCTTTGAATTCGTGAACATATATAAATCTGTTTTGTCATGTTTACAGGTGTATGTTAAAGGTTTCAGGGAATCAGTGAACATTACGACACACATAAAGTAAAATGACATAAAGGATTCAATTCATGTACAGAAACTCGATTTGATAAGCTCAAAAGTACATTTGGTTTTAGTAATAGAGAAGGAAATTATATTTCCATTTTGTATATACAAACGTGTCTTTTTAATGTTCCTATATGGCGTCGCTGTCATGGCAACCTCGACTCAATTCCCCCTTGCCATACACAATGAGAGACGACAAGAAGGTCAAGTATGTGTCACTCACGCAACACGCAATACTAGTTAAACCTGTTTTATATTTTGTAATTGGGTTATGCATTATTTTACTCAATACAATAAGTTATTCTAAATCCAACTATTTTCAACTTTAAAACACGCCTGTTCCTTCATGTGACGAAGAAATCGGTATTTATATATTACGGCATAAAAATATACATTGATGTCAACTGTTACGTCAATTATATATAGCAACAAAATGAATAATATGACTATAAAAACAGTTTAATATTATAATTGCTCTATTGCGTTGATTCATCATCGTCAAACTTGGTTGTCATACCATACCCCACGATCAACTACGTTTTCAAAATGGCTCTCTTAGTTATCGATGCAATCAAAAAGATGCATTATGTTAATCATCACTTACATCCCCACTCCTATTGTAATTAGGTACTTCTTAAATACATCGGACAGCCAGTGACGTAATATCAAATATTAAGTATACGTTTTTTAATATGCACACTAGTGTAGAATTATTCTAGGAGCAACGACAACGGTCACTTTTAAAAACAGAGAATTAGTATAAATTACACTTGGCCCAGACAATCTGATTAGGTATACATAGAATAAAAGATAAGTACATATGAAGTATATTGTTACATAAGTGTTTGTGAGTAAATGAGTGTACGGTTAGCGTCAAATTTGGTTTAAAAAATACTCAGGTTCCGTCTGGCAGTTAAAGCGTAGGTGAATACCAAACAATCTCTTTGTAATTCTTACACGTACATTCAAACTTAGGAGGTCTTTTTCTGACATGTTGATAAGTAGACTTCTCTAGCCCGTGGCAAGTATTAATACGTATGCACGGTCGTGTATGCGTGTTATGTGAATGTAGAAGGCATTCGGGGAAAAAAACATCCGTTGACGATTGAGTATGTTGAAGCCATACAAGATGTGCTGTTATTAACAACTAATGACCTATTTCAAGAAATAATAGACATTGTGTACACACGGGCTGTGGAACGTTTTTAATCGCCAAAGTATATTTAATAATCTGTAACAGGAAATCCCGTGCAATTATACTGTCTTATGATTTTTATTACTCGGCCGATCAAGTGTATTTAAAGTTGTTATGAAATGTTTGACATAAAGTACAATATACGGCTTGAGTAAATTGGGCTAAGTAACCATGTGCGAGTCTGTACAATATCTGGATGTATTTTCTCGCTAAGATGCGTGACGTGTAAGCTTAATAGTGCTATTTCGAACGACGTGGTGAGGCTGGTATGACGGTTGTGGCAGAAACATTATATGAGGACTACATTCAATTCTAAATAACCTTTAAATATTTAATAATCTATCAGGCATGAAAGCTACTATGTGTCAAACATATAAAATAACCAGACTATCAAAATATTCGAGAAATACCCTAACAGGAGCCTCTCAAAACTGAAGTCTATCTTTACAAAAGTCTCTAAAACCGAGGTATACCCCAAAAGGTGCCTCCAAAAACCGGAGTTGATCCCGACACTGAAGCCTCCAAAAAAACAAGTATGCCAAAATCGGAATATATTGTCAGCCAATTTCAGGTTACTGGGGACAAGGGTCGACTATCTTGTTTTCCATCTCGAATGTAGCAAATATCAAACTGTCATTCTTTTTTAGAATGAGGCATAGGTAAACGTCAGTTGTATGTACAATATATTAATAACTTCATACAATAATCAAGAAATACAACACTGGAACGTACTAAACAATTACGACAACCTCTTGAGACTAGCACCATATGGCATATTATATTATACATTAAAATGGAAACCGTTGATGTCTAGGACTTTATACACATATTGCATAGCCATTAGAAGCGACATATTGGTGTAAATACAATGGTATGCAATGACATTAAAATTGCCGCGGTATATCATATCATAATGTTGACAGAATTGAATATATTCTCATATAAGCATTTGCCACTATTCAGTGTACAAACACACATTTTGAACAATACATCAAGTCATGACTGAAACCCAATGCATAAAACGAACATATAAATACGCAATATACGAGCCTCACATTTGAACTGAAGATCACAATAAATTCAACTTGCCCTTGAAATTACATGCACATATCACTGTGCCATACTCAAAACAGACCACTCGAAATAGCGTGTAACACAATGGTGTAAACATACTATTATATCATTGAAATTCCATTTAATAAAAATTCTAAATATTGTCCGTACATTTCCGTACTAATATTTAATACAATAAATAGTGAACTGATTAATCTATGCTAGCAGACTGGAGATGGAGTGTCACGTTTTGTGTCACCCATATTGAAATATGTATTAATTCAATTAAATTAGTAATAATATCACCAATGCGTCTCAGAAGCTTTCTAGGGTTACATAAGGGATAACAAAACAGTAATAGGTGTTCATATGAAACGACGATTATTTGCAATTTATACATGCTAAATAATAAAGTTTTTGCAATTAAAATCCGCCAAACGGAATCATGAGATAAACAGGATATTAATGTCATGACGTCACGATCTATATTTATTCAACTCATCTAGTAAAAGCTGCTCCAAATTAGTGAATTTGTCATAATTTTTGACAAAATTGGTCATAAATCGCATGACAATGTTCATTAGTTTATTATGTACATCCATGAAGCTATGGTACAATTAAATAGCATTATTTTGTGTGTTACAGTTAAGCCTTTTGAGAAATGTGCCCTAATATTTCTTAAAAATTGCTATTTTTAGAACAATTCCATAGAACACAATCTTAAAGAAAAATTGCATTTTTTTGAGACTTTAAAACCCAGATTTTTAAATAATTCAGAACAACAAAAAGTACTCCGCTAATTAACAATAAATGATTTTTTTTCAGCATATGTCACCAGGCTAGATTTTGAAGTCTTGCATAATACCTCTGCCATAGAAACCTGTGGTAAAAGTGATATAATAGTGTCAAAATGGCGACTTTCCACTAAAATACAACCATCAATTTCTCAAAAATTAGGTGGGTGACCCCCAACTTTTTTTTGGTCAAAATTCTTCAAGTACAGTTTATTGCAAAATGAATAAATTCTGGGTATTTTAATTTATGAGTAGGCTTCTACCTTAAGGTTATCGGAGAACAATGCTATCGACGTTTAAATCATGAGATATATCACCAATGATTTCGTCTTTAGTGCATTTTATCAACTTTTTTTCTGATTTGGAATAAATATATGTATGTGTTTTCTCTGAGTTCATTGTTTGTTTGGGCATTTTATCACAACTATTTAAATAACAATCTCCCGAGTTTCTTTTGTAGTGTATATACTCGGAAGAAACTGACTTATGCTAATTTAGATTTATAACTATTAATGCATTATTCCAAAGTGATGTGTAAAATTATATAAGTAGAACATATTTCACTGACATTTATGATCTCAGCAAAAAATGTTAAATTCATTTTTTAAAATATTGAAACACTGAAGTCAGCTTGTATTGAAGGTCGGGGTGTGTACTCACCAAATCAGTCTAAATTGTCGTAGTCACTCAAGGCCACTTTCTGTAATGTTGAAGGTTCTTTTAAATTCGATTTAAGGACTATGTTGGATAAGATCTCTCATGAATTGCTCAAAGCCCTTAGGATGTTTAAAGGGATCGGTGAAGGGTTTTACAATGTAAAAATGCAACGTTAATTACCAATTATATAATAACGGTATCTGTGTTGGCCCATGTTTCATCATTATATGGAGGACGCCATGTCAGCCATGGAAATGAACATATGTGCATATAATAATGTGATTTTTTTCAATTCTTTATTTCAGGCACAACAATATTGTAAACCCACTACGTCCACGCATGGAAATTTCCACAGCTTGTGTGCACGTGGTTGTCATTTGGATTCTCTCCATCGCCATAATGGTGCCACAAGGAATAGTATTGGATCTAATAGTCTGGCCTTTGAGCTCCCAAACCTGGATCTACGTATGTACGGAAACAAAATGGCCGAATGTTGCTCACAGGAAAGCCTACACAGCTATCTCATTTGCATTTGTCTATCTCATTCCATTGTTATTGATAAGCGTGGCTTATATACGAATTGTCAGAAAAGTATGGCGACGACATGCACCTGGTGTAACACAAGAGACACAGTCTGGAGCGCATGCGTCTATATCCAAGCAGAAAATCAAAGTTCTGAAAATGATTCTAGTTGTAGTTATCCTTTTCGGAGTTTCCATGTTGCCTATTCATATTTGCATGTTGCTGATCGACTTCGGTAACATGTCTAATCGCAAGGTTCAGACCATTGTGTTATACGTCATACCTTTCGCTCATTGGTTGGCTTTCTTCAACAGCTGTGTTAACCCGATTGTGTATGGTTACTATAATAACAATTTTCGACGCGGATTTCGTTCTGCTATGAATCCGCGTAAATTCTGCTCATTTGGCTCAGTTCGAGAGCCTGGATCATTCGTTGGTGAATCTGAACATCTGAACCCGTGTCGTCATCGTCGCAGTACACGGTCGACTAGAGTACGTGCAAATTCACATCCAATTGAAAACAATTCCTCTTAATATCGTGTGCCTTGTATTAATGAGTAGCTATTGTTATTGTATATCAGTTACTGATTCTTCATTGTTTTAAGTGAGGAGAGAATTGCATGCTGGTAAACATGCTAACAAGGGACAATATTTAAACGTACAATCACAATACCAGTAAATTTTGCAGCTATGGCTTACCACCTTAGAACACCCGTCGTTCAAGGAATACAAGATAATCGAAGTTGACAATTCACCATAGCACCATGGTTAGAAAGGCCACCTAAGGCAGCAGAAAAAAAACATTGATATTAATATATTAATCACCGTGACCATGAACATATACATTGACTACTATTCCAACAAAAGACGCCAACGCGATTAGATAAGATATTTTGTGCAAAATAGTCACCTGCATACCTTAAAACTCATATTTATATATATATAACATATAGTGTACAATGAACCAAGCTGCGACATATCACACGTTGAAAAATCATCCCATATTAACAATATCTTATTACGATGTTGCAGTTAAATTTGAGAGTATGTAGGTTATTGTTACGTGTTAGTATGAAGGTAAAGCCCACTCTATACTAAATTAATTTGTAGTTATAGTTAAATGTTGGCCGCTTACGATAGTTATACGCGACACTAGTGTAACGCCTGTTGTAATTATATGAGTGGTCGTATCATTTTAATTATGACGTCCGTTTATTGTGACAGTGTAAGCCACAAATGTGACATTGAGTTGAATGGTACATTACGTCTCACAGTCTACATTGTAGTTTTTATCACTCCTCCTTCAGAGTCCATTTTAAGGTTATCTAGTGTAATCTGAACGTATTAGAAAATGCAATTATATATCTATAGTACAACACATGGAAATCACATTTACTCGGCGTAGCCGTAATTCAAGGTAATCGGCTTATCACGATTCGATATAAACAAACGAATCCGATGTTTTGTTATCACTGTTTTCTCAGCCCAGGCGCTCAATGTCATGGATACCTCAGGCTATATTTAGCTTTCACTGTTAATCGCCATTTGCATCGCAGTATCCGGTCGCCTCATAGCGCAATTTAATTGTGAACAATTTCAAGTAATTTCAAGTAATGATTTAAAAAGAATTAAATGTGCACAGTGAATCGTTTAGACGCAATTTGCGTCTGAGTGACAACCAGAAGACATATGTTAATAGAGATCTATTAATCCAAATAACACCACCTACCGCACACTGAAAACAGCACATTAGATGTTCGTGCACAATATCTGTTGAGAAGCGTATTAACTGTGCTCAGTGTCATATGCTTTTGTACTTTTATCCAATATGTTCTGTATGTCTTATCTATCTGAATTTAATGACATTAACACAAATTACCTGTATTGCTTCTGCGTTCCCTGGAGGAAACGCTAATTTGAAGTTGTTATTATAATAAATGGTAATGAAAAACTCGATCACGTGATTGCGTTGTCATAAATAGAGAAGTCGATAAACTATGCGCGCCACATCTTCGCTAGCCAAGGTCTAAGTTTTAAGCTTCTAAACAGACCTTGGCAGAACGACCATCAAATATGCGTATTCTAACAGCGCCCCCAGTAGTCAGTTGCGGCTAATCATTGCCAAATCAGTTTGCGTGTTACAAATCACTCTTTGGCGTTTCATTTCAAACAAAATGGCGGCGCCCATGAATCGTGATATTTGTGATGATAAAATTGCGAAAGTTTTCGGTGCCCTCAAGCCTCATCAGGTACAGGCAATCGACGCAGTTTTGTGTGTGGAAGGATGTCTTCATAGCGACAAAAACAGGAAGTGAAATTTTGTTTTATAATTTGGTACGTCCAAACTGATTGAGCGCCTTGTTTCGAGGCGCGCCCAATCAGATCTCACTGCTTAAGATACGCAATTAGCCTATGCGATCCCGCACGGTATCGTGTAGAGGTCGAAGACACGGGACCATGCGATTTGAACGATGTGTGCGCCATTAAATATACCATTCTTCCTATTAACTAGCGTAAAGTCGTATGCAAGGATGAGTGATTGCGCTTTATTGGTCAGATGGACACAGATTCGTTACCTTTCTGATTAGGTGCTCAGGGGACTGATTCTGTCATTTCCAATTTTGAAATTCGCAGCATAAGTAACATGGGTAAAGTCGACGTTTTGTAAATGCTTGTTGGTAGACGTTAAACATCGTGGCTGGATTGTTGTGATTACTTAAATAGCAGTATGTGTTTATAACTCATAAGAACGACATACATACTCTCTCCAAGAAAGAGAACATGTCATGTACATGTGTAAATTGTTTTTTAGACAATTTATGCCTATTCTTCCATGTGATTCGTTTAGATTGGAAAGGCTATTTTAACCATACAATTTAGCGACCAATGCCTTTCACATCACCTCAGTTTTTTGCTGTATTTACTTTTGAATGTCTTCACGACGTTAGAAAGTAGGTCGTTTTCTGTGAGTTCGCTGATTTGTTTTCTGATACAATCATCTCCATGTTACCATCTCAGTGTAATAATTATGTTTTGTATGTATGAACCTAACCCTCCAGTTGGCCTATTACTTTTACCGTACTTTAAATCATTTACTGTCACCTGTTTATGATGGTCTTGTCAAGATTATGTGGAAAATAAACGACATCTGGGCCTTTGTGACATAATCGTGATTGTCAGTCAACTCTACACGAATAATAACTGCCTTACTTTCAACTATATTTAAGCTCAGCCAACGTTAATAACAAACCTAATCTGAGTTTAAATACATCCAGGAGTTCGGAGTACTTCAAATACCATACCCCATAAGCAGCGTTCTGATATTCGTCGCGCCATTTCTGTATATAAAACAAAAATGATATTAAATCCCGGCCATGAATATTTTAATCGTATCCAACTTGCCCGACACAGTAATGTCTGCCTCCAGGATACATAGAGCGAGTGCTCAGTTAACGTTACTTGGTGTTTGTTGGCGATCCGCTCAGCTAGGATTGCCCTTATAATCACTTTTGTCGTTTTGTGTGTGTGTGTGTCTGTGTGTGTACATTTCCAGTGTTCACTATTATTTCTTCTGTGATTTTTTTGGCTTGGCCGATTTCGTTCAAACTTGGCAGGTAGGTCACACCTTAACCCTAGTTATAAGGAAAAATCTGAAAA